CGAAAAATCAAAAAAAAAAAAGTTTTGCACTCAGCGTTACGTAAAAAGCATCAACAATTTTTTTTCGCTTGCGTAATATCTATGTATGTACTACAATGCGCAATTGAAATGACAAAGCAGTTGTCCTCTAAAAGCATTGCAGAGACTTTGAATATATTTTACTTATACATACATACTACATTCACGATAACATAAATAAAGATGATCAGCAAAATTCATAAAAACATAAATAGTACATGATTTTGAAAGCTGTATGAATAGAAATACTGTATGCTAACTTTTTTTTTTGTATTGAAAATTTATTATACCTTTATACGTAATAAGCTGAGCATATTTTTAAAAAATAATAAGTAGGTCATTTCAACTGTGAAATGGCATTCCACGAAAAAAGGTATATTTCATCGCCAGACTAATTACTATTTCGGACGATTTTTTCCAGCAGAAATGTATTTTAAATTTAAAATCATCACATCAAATGTTCAATTTACTTTATAAATTTTTTACAAGAACAACGAAAATTCAACTAACGTTCTTTCAGCGGAAATATATATATATATATATATATATATCTATATATATATATATATATGTGTACATAATCTAGCATAGAAATCGATATTTGAATCAAGTGTATTTAAATAAAGTTGAGGTCAAGTATAACGAACTTTCGAAATAAAGAATTTTCGGTTTAACGAATCATTAAAATTATCTCATTGATGTTTCTATATTACATACGAACCCAAACTTTTTTTATTATTCCATATAATGGACGCTGATTAAGTTTTTAGCTGAAAGTTCGAGTTCTTTGCAAAAGCAAAGGTTTCGTTAAGTCAACAGTAGTTTAACTGAGTTTGATTTAACGTCAAGTTAAAAAGCGGATGCGAATTGAAATAAATTTAAAAAAATAAATAAAATGTTCGCTGTCATTGAATTAAAAACAATATGTATTTTTTTAACTTAATGCATTTAGTTATATAATTGAAAATATCGGGGTATTATAGGTAATTAAAAAAAACATACGATTTGTTATATTGGGCGTCTAGTGTAATTATATATTTTTTATAACAACAACAAATTAACTAAGCATTAGCTATCATTTTCATCTCTGGACACCAACGAGAACCATAATTGGAGTGTTTGAGTTTCACGATTTTGTTATCGATATTTTTATCGACTTTGTATCGACATTTTTATAGATTTTGTTATCGATACTTTTGTCGATTTTGTTACCGATATTTTTTATCGATTTTGTTATCGATGTTTTACTATCGATTTTTATTGATGTTTTTTAGCGATTTTGTTATCGATATTTTTTCGGTTTTGTTATCGATATTTTTTATCGATATCTTTATCGATTTTGTTGTAGATATTTTTATGGATTTTATTATGGATATTTTTATCGACTTTGTTTTTGAAATTTTTATCAATTTTGCTATCTTTATTTTTTATCGAATTAGTTATCGATATTTTTATTGATGTTACTATCCTATATTGTTATCGATTCCCATGATGTGACATCATATGACAGAACATCACATGATATCACATCATTTGGCATGACATGACATCCTATCACATCACTTCACATCAAATCACCAGAAATCACATTACATTGCATCGCATTACCTGACATCAAATCACATAGCCTCTTATTACGTTATCAAAAATATAAAAACAAAGATAAGGACCAAGGTAATTTTCATTTCTCCAGTGTGGCCCAAGCGCACTTACCTTTTATAACATCCAGTAACTAAGATTTGTGGTAGACTGGGGCTTTCCCTGCAAACAAGCAATTATTTCGGATTTGGCGTAAGTAAGTCCGACCATATTGATAGTGCCGGGCAAATTTTAATTAAAAGGACAGTTACCAATTGGTTAATGTTAATTCTGGAGAATAACTAACAATTAATTAGTTGTTAATTTTAGTGCAGAATAACAATTACCAATTCATTAATTGTTAATTGTAGCGGTGATTGTGATTCTCTGCAATGAACAATTAACCAGTATTTAATTGGTTTGTGAATTTCATTAAAAATTAACTTTTTCAAATGCCTAATATATAGGTCAGGGACGTGGATATCACAGCCATCCACATCCAAAGCCCGCGCCGTATTTTTTATTTCATTTATAAGTAGGTTAATGTTAAAAAAAGTAACTGCAATTAAGTTATTTAATTGCCGTGTACAATTAACAGTTTAATTGCAATTAGTTCAATTGCAATTAAAATTTTAATTGCGCATCGCAATCAATTATCAAGATGATTAAAAAATTAATTGATTAACGCCCAACACTGAGTGGTACATATAGGCGGCAATAAAGAGCAGGAGATTTTTGTTTACAGGCCAGTAATACATTTGGTCGCCTTTTTGAAAAACAAACAACACACCACTTCACCGCAATATTTCTACCCAGTGAGCTATCAAGGAGTCGTACTATCATAGACTTTGGCTTTGGAGCTTAGCAACCAGAATTAGTCCTAAATACACTTGGTTCTCGTTTTACGCGTTTAGTAAGGATGCATCGATGTTTCCGAAACACCGATAATATCAGTTCAAAATTCCAAGTTTGTCATCGAAGTTGAAAATTTTCTAACATCGCTAAATTCACGATACGTCGATTTCAAATTCAAGTATATTTTCAACATTAGTTTTACTGGAACTATCAGACCTGCTTTGGACTCAACTTACCCATTATTACCCCATTGTAAAATTATAACCGCACCACATATTGCCAAGCTTTAACTGCATTGGTTGGAATTGAAAAATTTTAATTTTCCTTTAAATTGAACTGTGTAGGACTTAGTAAATTGTAAAACAGCTTAAACTAGGCTAATAAAGTTATAGTTTAAAAAACTAAAAACTCGCTCTTATTACAATGTGAACTAAAACGTGAAAAATAATTTATACAAATACAAACTTCGTTTAAGAGGATAGGAAGTTCCCTGACCTGATTTGATTGAATTTTTAGAAACAACCTAAAATATGTGGGGTGCTTGATATCAATTGTTTAGAACTTTTTATTCTCAGTTTAGTAATATTGAATATTTTCAATAGCAGGACTATAAACTCTAAGAAGCACCGCAAGCTTCGTTTTCCGGTAAAATTAATTTTATTGTCAACTACTTTAATCATATTTTTCGTTGGTTTAAAAATTTTAATTAAACCAAGTTAGGGAACTTTTTATTCCTCTTAAATGAAATCTATATTTCTATAAATTATTTTTCACTCTTTAGTTCACATTGTAAAAAAGCGAGTTTTTAGTTTTTTTTTTAACCAATCTTTTTATTTACATGCGAAATCAATCTTTGGAATTTTCATTTGTACCGTCATCAGGTAACTTTAAAATGGAAATTTTCAGCTCTATTCCCACGCCAATGACAAAACTCAGCGGCTGACTATTGTCTTTACTACTGCGCCTAATACTGTAAATTGTCACTGTTATTTTTATGACCTACTAAGTACGCGACAACGGCGAAAGAATGCTTATAGAGCAGTAATGGACACAACTGTCCTACTATTAATTGTGTCAGTGTTGTGGGAATAGGGCTGTTAAATCAATTCCCATATGTACGGTCAAGAGGCTTGTAACTTGGTAATGGAAATGTTGCTGCAACTTTTAGCCACACCATTATTACATAGTTACACCCCAAGCTAATAAAAGCGAGGCAAAAAATTAAACAAATAAATTAAAGACAACAATCGTACTAACTCTGCGTCTTTTCCGTTATTATGGGCATTTTGTTTTAATTTTTTCCACAAGACGTCAAATTGTTGTCGGCATACTTCAACTCATTGTCATGAAAATAGCCCAGACAGTTTTTTCAGATAACTGAAGAAGTGCGCATGTATTTCCGCTGTTATCACAGCATTGCCAGGTGTAAACCGCGTGTTACTGAAATGGCAATAATTGTTAAAAAAAAAGTTAACTAAAAGCAAAGAAAAACTGCTTTATCGCTAGAAACAAACTTGTTGTGCTTAAAGACGCTAAAAGCGAGAAGAGTTTTCGATTGGTAGAGTGTGAAGACAAAGCAGGACCATACTCTTTTTTCCTTCCTGATCTTTTCTTCAGCATTTCTAGTTCAACATAAAGCCCAAGTGCTATTTGACTACCTCCACGAGGTTCTGTGTAACACCATTTTTCGATGGTAACTGGACTTTGAGGAATTTCGTTTTTAACGGCCTGTTGACTAGGTTCCCACATTTACTAAGGCCTTCTGACTTTGGTAACTTAGAACTTGAGTATGTGTGCGTCCTAGCTATGTGCTAACATCCTGTGCCATGTTATCAGAGTAACAGACTATTTATTGTTACATTCCGTAGAAGTGAGGAGATTTCTCCGCCGTGCGGAAGGTCCTACTTGAAACAAGGTTTTAACAATTGGGAACATTGGCACTTTTAATATCTAGAAAACGAATAAGGCTAGTTATTTTGCAGCTTGGACTTGGTTTATTTTAGTGACGATATGGCGGAGCACTGTTTCCTTTTGAAATGAAGACCACTTTCGCCTTGCTTTGGGAATATAAGCCAGGTCAAGACGAGTCTTATAGATGAATGTAATAATGGACATAAAATGTCTTATGCTTCTTGACCTTGGCGGGTTAGATGTCAACTGTGTAAAACCAGTAACTTATACAGTTAAAAGGATATGTAGATACATACATATATTCTTATTTCAGCGTATGATGTTCTCCGGGAGGGAAATGTTTCTAAACTGCAGTGGAAAATAATACAGCTGTACCTGGAGAAACACTGGCTTACCCATTTGCAAAAGTTAAACCGACTTAAACCCGAAAAAGAAACGAAAGAAAAGAAATAATAAAACTTTCCAAGCCTAAGTTCCTCAAGAAAATTAAGTTTATTACGATGAAATTCTAGGCTCTCGTAGTCTGCCATATTTTGAAAACTACAACTTTCACATAAAAAACAACACTTAATTAACCTATATTTTTATTAGCTATCATTAATCTCGTCCTCGCTTCTCTTTCATTATAACTAAATAGCTCACCAATTATCAAATTGCCGGCGCTATCTTATTTTTGATGGCACACTTTTCCACCACCTCCAGCACACCACTGCCCACAATCGAAGCTCTAGGGCCAGTTAATGCATTGGACTACGCACAACAACCAAACGAAGTGTTGCCAATTCAACCATTACTACTATATCCGATGTCACGGAATTTACAACTGCAGGGACGGGAGCTTGATGATGAGGACAATAACGTAATTTATGTGAAACTATTGAAGCGTAAAGCCTACCACCCAACAAAGCTGCACACCAATGCATTATATGAAGGAAGCAATGTGCCGCGTGAGCTCACCATGAAGGACATTTTCTATGTGAAAGCGCTAGCCAATGGTCAATTTAGTCATCAACGTCTCAAATTATATCGACTACCGGAATTCTATGCGATAAGCGTATTCCACAAGGGAGCAAAACTGTGAAAAGCTGCAAACCAACATACTCGTACATATGTACAAACATATGTATGTATGTCATCATCATAGTAAATTAAAAATTAATTATAAGCTATATTTCAATGAAACATCTTCAGCTCATTTGTTGGATTTTTATTTTGTAGTGAATTAGAGTTAAGTGCTTATGACTTAAGTATTATTGTGGCTTATTGTGATTGATTTCTTAATTGTTGTTGCGTAGATATACAAATAAGGGTACACATACATACCTATAAAACAACAATTGTGTCATTTCATAGACCATAGGTTTAATGAGTTGTGCGGAAAGGTGGGTGTATTAATTGATAATCGTAATGAAGCCATCGGTCTTCGTGGCGTGAGTGGAAGTAGCCATCGAGTGGACGATGAGTGGCCACAGCCAGGCTTACAAATTTCATTATTTACGTAAATTTTACGCAATGGCCGTAATTGTAAGTGACTATCAATGAGGTGTAATTAAGCATATTTATTTCGACAACATAATACCGTATTTGTGTAAGTATGTACCGACACACCAATACATGGCTACCAAAATTGATAATGCTGCCTGCTTCTGTACGTACAAATTAACAACGAAAACAATTAGCTGAACATTAATTTGTTGGGCTTAATTTTTTTGTCATTTTGCTTTCAGCTGCTACCTTTTTTGTTTGTTTTGTTTTTTGTCCATTCATGGTTTCTTTGTTTCCGCTACTTTGTGCGCCGCAGTGTTCCAGCAGCAATGTTGTCAGGTGTTAACAGTAGCCCAATTAATTTATTATGTTTAATTAGCAATTAGTCCTATTATGTGTATGGAGGTGTGGAGGCTACTTTGGGTTGTATGTGGCGAGCTATAACAATTTGTCCGTGGCTTTTGCAGTGATTTATGCTAATTTTTTGCAAGGTTTTGGTGTACTTAATTAAGCGTAGACCGAAAGCGGTGGAAGAGGAAGTTGAAAAGTAATAGATTTGAACATACCTGTTTTGGGTTAAATGCTAAAGTTTACAAGAAATCCTAGATAGGCAGCAACTAAGGCTGGGAGTTCTATCCGGATCTTTTTAATATCCGGATAATCCGAATTGTCGAATTTCTGACTAAAAACTCGAAAAGATTACCAAAAAGTTACCGAAAGTATTAAAAAGACCTCTTTCTTTTGACATTAACAATGGGCGTTACTTGCACCTTCGAGATTGTATTAAAGTTGCCTAGAAGTTTACATAGGAATATACTTCTATGATTTCTGCACCTTTTTAAAAAATCTTGAACTTAAGGGTCAAAGTTTATAATAACTTTATGTTAAATTTATAATATAAAGGGTATCTAGAAAAAATAATGTACATTATTTGATGGCATCTGTCGCGTTTTTTAATGGAGGTAATTGATTTATCATGCACGCGTGAGTAACACCCTTTTCTTCCCATATTTCATACAAAAAAAACCAGTGCCAGTATTTTATTTATCATTTTAATTCTCTTTGTTAGTAGCTAGTTGTTTTATTGTTTTTTTTTTCTGACCTTAGCTCCTTGTGGCACATATGTTTGTACATATCGCCAATGATAACTCTCAATTTCGTATGTGTCCTCAAAAACAAATTAATTTCGTAAGTAATTGGCTACGTGTATGTAACTTTGCCGCAGATATTGTAAAATATTTTACGGTTTTTAGGCATTTAGTCTATAAGTTACCAAATGAGATCGGAAGCTACCAAATTGCCAAAGAGAATAAAAGTTACCAATTTTGGTAATATTTTACCAAAGTGGCAACCCTCATCCGGACATTAAACGGATATTCGTATATTCGGATAACAAAATTAACGGATATTAACCGAATCGAATCTAAAAGGAACAATAATTGTTTTTTGTATGAAGTGTTCTGTTATTTACTTTGCACCGCAAGTGGTTCTGTAATTTTGAGAAACATTTTACGAATCTGTTCAAATACTATTTATTAAGAATTTCCGGAAAATCAAATGAACGGATATAAACCGGATATCCGGATAACAAAATAGAACAGTCAGGTTCTCACCGGATACCCGGATTTTAACCGTATACACGAATAAACGAACGGATACATACAGAAAGTCCAAGCCCTACAAGCAATAGTCTTACTCCTAATATCAGGGAATAACAACTCATACGACGAGGGGCACCACGAGCCCGCTCAAAGATGTCGCCTACAAGAAAGCATTACTCCCCGTCTTGCAATTAGCTGATACCTTATCGCTTTTGGGAAGTGCGAAGTTTTCATCACCTAATCGAATTGCTTAGAACAGGGGTTCCCAAACTTTTTTCACCGCGGCACCCTTGTTATGCTAAAAAAATTTCGCGCATCCCTACTCTTCAAATGTCTACGAAAACAAGAAAACACAATGCAAACTTTATGCTCATTTAGCTTTAATGTGAGGACTGAAATTGTTTTGATGATTTCATTATTTCCTTTAAGTTTATTGGGAGCTTTGGACAATTTTACCCTGAAATCATTTGACCCTGAAAGCTTGCTGGTGTATTTGTTTTTAACCGACCTCACAAAAAGGAAAAGGTTATCAATTCGTCGGAATATTTTTTTTATTATTTTTTTTCTTGTGTATGCTACCGTAAAACTCTGGACCACGTTAACCGATTACTATAATTTTTTAATGGAAAGGTGTTACCTCACAGGTGGTCCCATTCTAATTTGGTTTAAATCCGATCATTGGATCATGAAGAGAATAACGATAATCTTAAATTTGTATATGGGAATTTAAGTCGGTTTTGTTTTCTGCTTAAAAATGACTTGTTTATGTAAGCATTTGTTAAAAATGCAGCTTCACATAGAAATGTAAAAGGGAAAGTCACTAGTATTTTTGATGCAATCTTGCCAACACCAGTTGGCATACCAACTTCGTAGTATTTAATATTCAAAGTGCTGTCTTCACTGATGTCCAGAAGGTTTTCAAAAGCTTAATTTTCGGGTCACATGAAAACGGGTTTATTATCCAGCTGTAGACATCCTCAGAGTCAATGTGGGGAAAATATTCGGCAATGGTTTTTTTCTAAACCTTCCAAGTTAACGCTGGCAATGCGCATTAATGCTAAGAAAACTTTTACAGCCAATTTCACGAAAGTAATTTAAGTGAAAAATTATTTTTTTTTTTTTGTTAATATTGTATGGAAGGTGACAGAAAAAAATCATTTTCCATTTAAATTGCTGGTGAAACCGGCTGTTATCAATTTTCTTAGCGTTAACTTCGAAGTTACATATGTACGTTTTTCTGATTTACTTTGTTTATTTATGGTGTTTTCCTTGCAAATTGTTGGAAATTCTAAAATGTACATGTCACCAATAAAAAGGTCTCGACGTGCTAGAAAAAACCAAAGATGTATTTTAATTTCGCAGGCCTCTGTTATCTTCGAGTGTGTCATCCAATACGGGATTTAAATCTAGTGGCGGCATCTTCCTAGTAGCCAGGGAATACCGACGGATTATACAGTGACTTCTCGTGGCGTTTTCTGCCTCTTGCGTCATCCTACGTATCGCTCCTTTCGTTTTTCCAACCAATGGAAATATCCGCAAACTTGCTCCATTTTAAACTACTTTTCTGTACAAATTTGTCGGTAGCTTTAAAAATTTCGACGCTAGTGGTGTAAGTCTCAAGTACTTCGCTCATCAAAAGTTCTTCTTCGATTTGTATTACGATTGGGTACCTCACTAACACGAGAAGAACATTAAGTCCCACTACGCCGGTACTTTCGTCAAGTTGCAAACTAAAAAATTCACAACTTTTCTGACTTTTTATAAGTTCGTTCTCGACTGCCTCTAAAATCGTGTTGATTCGCTCTTTCGCAGTGTGATTGTGCAGTTCCAAAGAATAAATAACATATGTATACACGAGCGATAAGCTGCTGAGCTTATTACGAGAACAGCCCAGCCAGCAAAAAATCCAAAAATTAATCCGAAAACGGGAATAAAAGTGGATGAAACGCGGATTAGGTATACAAAAGTACCGAAAATGGTTGTTTCGGCTATTTTCTGAAAATTTTCTGATTCAATTTTTCGTTGACAAAACGTACTAGGGAACTACGCTTAAGAGCGAAATACACCACACAAGCAGTTTCCAAACCAAGCGAAATATCCCTTTGCTGCAAGCCATTTGTTTTGTGTATGGGGTTTGACGAGCCGCTGAAGGTAATTTTAATAAAAATCGAAATTTTTTGATTTTCTGATTGCCATGTTGAAGTTCGATCAAACCGCTTGCGTTGTGTATGGAAAGTGTAAAGAATTTGCCCGCACCACTAGTATACTCTAGCCACTAGCGGCCGGCACCCCAGGCATACGCTCCCGGCACCCCAGGGTGTCGCGGTACCCACTTTGGTGAAGCCTGCGTTAACGCACACGGTCGGTTTGCATACATAAATGTTGGCTGCAATGGTAAATCCTCCGACAACACAATATACAGAGACAGCCATTTATACGAGGCTTTACAAAACGGGACACTAATGGCCAGTTTTTCAGTGCCAGTTTAAACTTAGATTGAGTAAACTGAGTTTAAATTGAACACCTCGCTGACATTTGATTGGCTGATCTTAGTTTAAACCAGCCAGATCAGGCGTCTAAACTTAGTTTAAACCACGGCCTTGCACTGAACAACTGGCCCTAAGCATCCCAAAGGCTAGCCAGTTAGTTTACGGAGGAGAATATGCAATCCCTTATTTCATCATAGGCGATGATGCATTTGCACTCGACAGGCACTTGATGAAAAAATACAACAGAAGCTCGAAATTGACCATACCACAAGAAGTATTTAATCATCGACTATGCCGGGCCAGAATGGTAGTCGAATGTGCTTTTGGTATGCTCTCTAGCCATGGGTAATTGCGCAATTTTTTTGGCGCTAGCTCAATAACGCCAGCGCCACCTGTAGTGTCAGCGCACTAACCCAGTGCAATAGTGCAGTGTACTGAATTGAACACGGCGCCATCTGAGTGTCACCACAGTACCCATCGTCATACAGTGCAGTACACCATACAGTGGTGTCATGTCTATTAT